CTCAAACAATCGGTTGAAGGCCTGAATGAAACAAAAGACTGACCTCTCCCAAGCAAGAAGGAATTCTGCCAGAAGACAGCCTTCAAACTCAAACTGCAGCATCAGCTCCTCTCTGGGTTTCCTACCTGATGGCCCACCCTGCAGATTTTGGACATACCAGCCTCCATAATCACATGAGCCAATTCCTTAAAATCAATCAATCTCTCTCTCTCTCTCTCTACTCACATACACACACACACACACACACACACACACACACACATCCTACTGGTCCAGTTTATCTGGAGAACCCTGACTAATATAGTACATCGATTATTAATTAGACTTTCAATTATAGAAAGGAATAAGAATCTAAAAACTCAAAAATTATATTCTTCTTATAGTTATTGAACATATATTAAGTATTCTGCTAGTAATTATGAATGCCAGGCCAGCAAGTCTGAACAGCATTCATCAGGCAATGTACATGTTTTGACATTTTTGAGTGGAAGAGTGGCATTATCAGATTTTTGCCTTAAGATAAAAATTCATATGTTGAAGTCCTAACCCTCTGTACCTCAGAATGTGATCTTGTTTGGAAATAGGGTTTTGCAGATATAATTAGTTAAGATGAGGTCATACTTGAGTAGGGTGGGCCCCTACTTCAATATAACTGGTATGCTTATAAAAAGGGGAAATTTGGACACAGACACATACACACCAGGGAGAATGTCATGTGAAGATGAAGACAGAAAGAGTGATGCTTCTAAAAGCCAAGGAAGGCCAAAGTTTGCCAGCAAACCACCAGAAGCTGTGGTGAAGCATGGGACAGGTTCTTCCTCACAGTGCTCAGAAGGAATGAACCCTGCTGACACTTTGATCTCAGACCTCCAGCCTCAGAACTGTAAGACAATAAATTTCTGTTGTTTTAGCCACCCAGTTTGTGATACTTTGTTATGGCAGCCCTGGCAGGCCAATACAGATAGGTCTGATAGTGCTGTGCAGAAAGGAAAGAGAAACACTAAGATGATTCAGGAGCTTATTGCAATACTATAGTATAAGGCAATGATTTCTCATGGTAGGTAGGGATAGAGGCAATGCTAAGAAAAAGACAGAAATAATTGTTATATGACTGAAGAATCAAATGTGTGAGGTTAAGGAGAAGAGTAAAAAATGATGACAGGATTTCAATCCTAAGTGACTTGGAAGATGGCGGCAACATTAACCAAGAGGTAAGAATCAGTATGATGAGGAGTTTTAGCAAAAGAATATTTCATTTTAGTGAAACAGTCTTCTCTGCCATTATGCAATTGATGTGTTCCTAAGAAAACTTGCATTAAAATGTTTAATTGAGGGAAAAGGTGATTTAGGGGCTAGACTTTCAGGCCCAAAATTAAAGAATTTTATGAAGGAATTTCAATAGTAAATTTTTGTTTTATAGCAGTAAGTATATGGCTATGAAACCTACACATCTCGAAACAAATCCAACCCTTGACCACACGCAGCAGTTGCTCAAGAATAATCACCTGTCTTTCTTACAGCTCCCAGCACTGTCATTAACACAATTCTTACATATTATCATCACTTTTATCATCCATTTTTATAGTAAAGCACAGAACAACCTACATAACGCAATTATGTTTGCTTTAATAGCTTTTTGCCTGTGCTAATGGGAGCTGGTTCCCAATCACAATTGTTTTATAATCTGAAGTGTGTGATACAAATCATATCCCTGATTAATAAATTACATTATGACCAATTTGAGTTTTGAAAATATTTTTCGATTTTATTATAAGACATCTTTCTGGAAATGCCCACCAGATAGTTAAACATAGAAAAGTAAAGTATATGAAAGAAGTTGGAGCTAGAGATCCTAATCAATAAGGACCTCAGATTCGTAAAAGCTAACACAAAGCCCTTCAAATATGGAGGCATTTATAAATTCCTCAGCACAAGTTGTAGTTTCCTAAAAATCTAAAGAGATCAAGTAGATATTTAGCAGGGCTAAGGTCAAACTGCAGAGCCCACCTTATCTGAAGGCAGAGTGCCCCAGTCTGTACCCCAATATGTCAACCACTCATTCTTGCCTTTGGACCAATTATCAGTACATTCCCTTAAGTCTTACCAGCTTTATGCCTTCCAGATTTAAAGTCAAATATTCCAGAGGTTGGTTATAGTTTCAGCTTTTATCATAGTTGTATTATAAATAAGCTTCATATAAGAAAAAGAATAGAAAAATCTACCTTTTTCAGAGACATTATGTGATATAGCAACTTGGTGAGCAGTTATAAGCATTTGTGGGGGAAAGGCAAAGCACATGGAAGCCCAAAGGGGAAGATATAGAAGAAAATATAAAAGGTCTAGAGAAATTGCTCTACCTAACTAAGCTATGAGCTTCTCGAGGGCAGGAATCATAACGGCTTTTTTTACCACCACATAACCAGTACCTAAAATAGAAGCTGGAACATCAGAGGTACTCTAGTGTTTGTGGAGGGAAGGAAGCAAAGACGGAAAGAAGGAAGGGAGGGGGGAGGGAGAGAGGGAGGAAGGGAGGGGAGGAAGTGATGGATTTTGTTTTGAGCTGAATATGATAATGTCTCAGAGACAATGGCCAAGGAACTTCTTAATATCTAAAATCCAATTTGAAGTTGTTTTCATCACTAGAGTATAAATGTCCTCTATGTCCCCAAACTTTTGGTAAAGTATGTTAGACACACAAATGCCTTGTGTAAGTGGATTTTGTAGAAATCAGGAGAAGGAAGTGATGCTAAGATGTCTGAATTATTAGAGTCTGAACAGAAACGGACTATAGAATTGGAAGAAAATCCATAAAAGGAACTAATTCTTTTAAAGTAAACATTTAGATCCAGAGAAATTTAGGAATAAAAAAAGTAAGGCACCTTCCCCCAACCTCTCCACTCTCAGATTCCTCAGACTTGCTGGGAGCAGCCAGGACTCCCATCAAACAGGAAAAGGAGATGGAGAAAGCCAATTTCACTTTAATATGAAATGACAGGATGCCTCAGCTGATATTTGGGATAGACACATATTATCTCAGTTTATTCCTGAAAACAGACACGTAAGATGCTCTCATTGTCTCTAGTTTACAGGTGAGCTAAGATTTCGGGAGCTTAACAAACCTGCAGCCAAGTGGCAGAACCGGGATTTGAACCAAAGGCCCTCAAACTGTTTCCCCACAGCTACAGGATATTAATACAAGATGCATTTCTAGGCCCTAGACCAAGAAGAGAAGGAAATTATCATTGCCCTACCTTTTAAAAGACTGTTCTCAAAGACAAACTTTGAAACTTTACAATTTATTATGAAATCAACAAAGACTGGAGAGAACTTTCAAAGTTCAAGAACAAATAGAACAGCTCTAATAGCAAAAGAAATGATTCCCCAAACAGAAATAAAAGCAGGGAAATAGCCTGGCAGGATAGATACCACATCCTTGACTGTTTACACAATCACAGTAAATAGCTAAAGCGAAAGTTTATTCATATTAGCCCATAAAACCTATGTTATTATATATTACTAATATGTCTTATATATTAGAGATGATTAGCCATCTAAATAAAAAGAAAGAGAAGGCATCTCTGTCCTAATAATTTTTTATTGAAACTTAGAAAGCTAAAGAATATAAAACAAATATGAAAACATTTAAAAATAACAAATTTAATAACTTGTTAACCTCTGAAAAACTTCAAATTTTCCAAATCCTACGTGATGTGACTTAAACAATAAGTGAGAGTCATGTAAACAACAGCTTTGAAGGGGTTATTTAGGGTTCCCCTAGTGATTTATATTTTAGAATAAACCCGAGCCTTTCTGAAAGCCAGAGTATTACTTTTAAAAACAAGGGGCATGGCACTAATGTATAACAAAAACCAAGCCTTGCTTTACTGAGATATTACTGTGAGTCGTACATACTAACATTTCTTTGACTCCTTTATTATAAGAGTAGAGTCAGCAACAGGAAAAATTGAAAATATTCTATCTATCCAGAAATAATCTATATGTCTTGCCTCTCTGAAAAACCATTAGTGAAATAAGAAAACCATTCTGTGCTGACAACAGATCGATGATCAGATTCTCTACGAGGCAGTTAGCACCTCTATTACGAGAAAAGGCACCCACTGCTCACGGCACACAGACCTCGTATGTCTCCATTTTCTGTAAAGATCTTCCTCTTCTGTTTCTCCTTGAGCAACTCTGAAAAGGAAATATAGAGATGTGTTACTGGACATAGAGGATAAGGACAAAAGCAAACCAATTGGTGGCCAGTTCTCAATTCCTAAAATAGGTGAAAGGAGTTCGCAGGTCGGCCAGGAGTCCAGATGGTTTGTTGCATCTGTAAGTGGATTCCAATGAAGAGCAAGCACAAAATGTGGCTCTAAGTGTTAAAATAAACCAACACGTTTTTGAAGCTTGTTTTTAAGTCTCTATTGCCTAGATTTACTAAATCTCCAGAGCCTTAATTTACTCAAAGCATGTTTGGGGGTCTACCAATGTGCTGCAGCATGTGAGGGGAATGTAAAGCTGGAACCATCCCTTTGATGCCATGCAACTCAAGGCCTGGAAACTGACTTATCCATCCTTTCTCCTTCTCCTTCCATCCCGTGTGATCATGGAGGGATCTTTTGCAAAGTTTTCCACTGCGGTCCTCAAATGATGTAAGATTCTGAAACTCTGACTGACTCTGCTGCCCGCTTCACTGTACGATTTCCCAAACAACCTGGTTTCCCAGGTAACTTTCTTTTTCCTACATGGAAATTATTCTGTAAGCCCATAAAAATTGAGGAAAATATAGACAAGTCACTCTACTTCACTATATGTCCAAAGACTCTCTAACCAATCCCTTGGTTAGAGAGATCCCTTGGTAATCCCTTGCTTGTCATGAAACACAATGACTGAACCCATACTTTATGCTCAGAAAAGAAAATTAGACCCTGATCAGCAAAGGATGATTCATAGACAGCAAAAACTCTCGCAAATAAAGAACTCTGTGGAGACATACATTTGCAATGCCATGTCATGCAGGTTTATTGAGAAATACAGAGCGAGACAAGTTCCCTTTTCCAAAGGCACAAAAGCAGAAGCCAGGAGACAAAGCAGCAAAGCCAAAACATGCCAAAACCATCAGAGACTGGGGCGTTGGTGGTAAAGATTCTGGAAATATCCAGAGGCATACATGATTGGTGCTGGCCAGAAAAATCTTAGATTGCCAAAGGTAGCTTATTCAGGGCTAGCAGCCAGCAATCAGGCAGTCAGAACAGGGGTCGGTGATGAAGAGTTCTTCAGGGACAGGCAGCATGTTGGAAGATCCTGGAAACATAGCTGGCAGGTCATGGAGTCTTGGTTCGCTCACTGGTTCCTACACACTTAGCAAATTCTTCGGCAGCTGGACACGCAGGACTGCTGGTACGTCCTGGAGACCCCACAGGCTGGTTGGCAGACAGTAGAGATTCCTCCTACTGGTTGACACACAGTAGAGATGCTAACCTGGGGCTGACAGCCCCTAGAGATGAAGGTAAGTGGCCGGCTGCAGGTAGTGGAGCAGGGATTGGAGACACAGGTCGTTTGCCGAGAGCAGGTCACCTGGCCAGGTCTAGAGACGCAAGAAGTTTGCTGGTAACAGGTTGGCTGGCAAACAGTGGGCTCACAGCAGGTCTCCTGACAGTGGTTCAGGAGCCAGGATCCGGTTTGGAAAGAACTGGGCAAGGAGATGCCACTCAGACAGTCAGCCTGGGTAGAAGGTATGGCAACTTCGGCCACTGGGACAGTGCAGCGTCCTCCAATCGGCCTGGAAGAGCAGTTCCTTGTGGAGAAGTTGTAGGACATGGTGCCAGACAGAGAGCTGTAGGTAATTCACTGAAGCTAGTTCCTGAATTGTGAATGTCACTTCAGGCACCCTAGTTTTTATATATCCTTGCTGGTGGGTGGGGCTCCCACCCTGGTCTTCCTGGCTTCTTTGGCACAGACCAGCTTGCCTTAGAACATCTTGTGAATCTCCAGGTTAATTGTCTCTTGAGAAGCCTTCATCCTCATAAAGAAAGTTTAGTAGTTTGGTAACTAAATCATAAGGCTTCTGTACTGTACTTAGTCTCAAGATTAAGAAGGTTGGTTGACAGCTTCAAAGCTATTGGTCATCCTAGCCCACACTTCACCCCTCATTCATCTTGCTTGGATACAATGAGTGTCGATCTGATGGGAGCACCAAACATGCCACCATCCTACCATCACACACTGTCTCCCTTATGACTGGGACTAATTACAAACCCACACTCTCTTTGGGTTGTTGTTGGTACTTAATATGCTTTAAGCATAACTTAATCAGTCACTCTTCCATAGCTAATGGGGTTTCTAATGGACAAGGAATCTTCTTGAATATGCTTCAGGATGACAATGACAAAACCTGTCAGGAAAAAGAACACCAAGATATATATCCACAGTAAGAGTTGGCTGGGAAAATCAGTCAAGTAACCAGAGCAAGATGCCTGCAGGAAGGTTAGAGGGCAGTGTGAGTCATCCTTTATGTTCTAGAAGCAAAGCAAATTAGAAGCTAATTAAGTGAGACTGCCTTTGTAGCTAAGTCCCTTTCTAAATAAATTGGATGAGCTTTATTCCTAAAATTTTTAATCTAATAACAATGGATAAGAATAACTCATAAGACTCATTAAGACGCCAGTGGAACAGACTTAGTTAATTTTTAAAATTATTTTAACGTTAATTTGAAAGGGTACAATGTTTTTCTCCCATGATGCTCAACACCTTCAAAAGATATTTATTTTCACACAAATACTTACAGATAAGATGCATTTTTATCATGGAACAACCAAAGGTTTTTCAAGGTCATTGTCTCCATCAGGGATAAGGGGAGAAGAGGGTAGGAGGAAGCAAGCTCTTAATCAATATTTGGTAATGAATGGATGAGTCAACAGTGTGCTATAATATTTAATTATTCTTTTTATTCTTGGGGAAACCATACATCATTCTCTTTTATTTCATCTCACTACAGTGTAGTCAAATCTGAACACCAAAATGATTGATCCTTTTGGTCCACTCTGGCAAAATAAGTCACTTCAACATAGTTCAAGTGATCGGTAATATTTCTACATCAAAACAGCTCTAAGATCTGACTCATTTTGTAAACTGGCTTACATAGGGTAGGAGAGAAGGATAATATTGGATTTATATATATTTGAGGGCTACAGGAAGACTATATCTTAAATATCCACAAGGCAAACAGCTTTATGTTAGAATTCATCAGAAGTTTCTGCAAAATGCTTCATTCATCTCTATTCATTCCACTGAAGCCAGGTTGGGAGCTCCCCGAGTCTCTAATTGGAGGCTAATAACACACCCAAACAAGATGATGCTGTGCTGTGGGCTGTATTACAATTCCCAGGGATCAGACTGTCTCTCCCTCCATGACTCGCAGCGTGTTCTCAGGTATAGGGAGAAATTCACGAGATGACTACTTTCCACAATGTTGTAACTACATTCTTCCCATCATGGGGAATGTCCCAGTTGATGTTTGAAAGTTAGAGTCCCTGGTCACAGGGGCTGGCTTGCTTGTTTTAAAATGAATGAGAAGTTTACTGGCTTCTACCAGCCATGGATTCATAGGCTGCTGTGGAAAAGTCAGCAGTAAAGTCACACAGAAGAAGTTTTCGGTACCCATCACCACATTTCTGGTATGGCAGAGACTTTTATACATCATTACCCTGTTTTGATTCCTCTTTTCCACTGAAAGTTGAAAAATTACAGTAAAAGGATCCTAGAAAATATCTTCCATCAGCCTCAGAAGAAAAGGAAATGAATATTTTTTGAGCACATGACTCTCTCCCAGGCATTGAGTTAGAGCCTTTAGATACACCATCGCATTGAATGCTCCCAGCAACCCTATGGAGTAGGTATCACGTCACATGAAAGATCTGAAGTTCGGGAAGGTTGAATAGCTGGCCGAGGTCATGCAGTTTATATTTGACTAAATTGAGATTCAAATAAAACAGAGCCATGAGCTGTCAACCTGTGTGGGGGATATTTAAACATAATGAGATGCCTTCATTAAAGTTCAAGCAAAAATTTACAAAAACGAAATCAATCAATCAATATTCCATTGATGACATTGCAAAGGATGTAGTCTACATTTCTCTTTCAGTTTTATCAATTGATTAACACAACAAAAATGAATAAAATTTTTAAAAAGTAAGTTTACAAGCACTGCTGTCCTTATACTTCATAAGTTTTTTCATTCTATACACCTTTGACAATGTTTACTTCATTACAATAAAATACAAAGTCATTACAAACAAAGCAGGAAGAGACAGAGAGCCGTCAACAGCTTGAAGCTGTAATTTGAAATTACAATTATTTATAGTGGCAATGCATGCAACTAATTGTTAGAGAACAGCAGAGAAGTGAATTGATTTTTCAAGTCTAGGTTGCAAGACCTTTCTGAAAAAACAGGATTTACAAACTCCAAAATCACTTTAAAATGATATTCTATAAATGGTCTTCTTCTAGTCACAGAATAAGCCACACCAATAGTTTCTTTAAGTACAGGCATGCGCCACATAATGACATTCTCGATGGACCGAATATACGACAGTGGTCCCATAAGATAAGTAACATATAGCCTAGGTGTGTAGCAGGCTATACCATCTAGGTTTGAACACTCTACAATGTTCGCACAAAGACAAAATCACCTAATGATGCATTTCTCAGAACGTATCCCCGTCATTAAGCAATGCATGACTGTAATTAAATTTAAGGGATCTACTCAACAGATTGCTGTATATTTAACACCTGCAAAATGGCAGGCTCTCCGGAAAACAGATAAGATTGGTGCCTTACAGCGTCCAACGTAGAGTTAGGAAAGCTACTTAATACTCTTGTGCACTCAATTTTTAGATGCAAGCATGTAGACTCTTCATTTGGATTCATTGTAAGTTTCAACAGTGAAGAAACATGCCCTGACAACCACGTGAAGCTTGAAGAAACTCTACACAATTCTAATTCCGCAGTGCTGTTAAATGAAATCAATAAATCATCCTTTCATTGGAAGGTAAGAAAAAATTATACAGCCAGCAGCTATCACTACGTAGTTATATGGAACAGGAAACTTCAACTCAGTGAAAGGCTTAGGAGGATTATTGTCGTGTCTGCAGAGGGTGAAGTGAGGGGAGGGTGTGATGAGAGCAGATGAGGAGAGATTAAAGGACTACTACCCATTATCTTCATCACTGATGGATAATTTGCTCTCATTTGTAGAGAACAATCTAAGTCTTACACAATAATTATCACAGACTGGAAATGAGCAATTCTTTCTCTCAAAACTGAATCACAGCCATCACTTACAAGGCCAAATGTCTGAAAGTAAAATGAATTAAGAACGTGTGGGAGGCGGAAGTTTTGATATGCAGGAAGGATGTTTTTCATCACAAAGTTAGTAATAATGTTGACCAATGCTGATTCAAAAAAACTACTTAGTCTCACCAAATAGAGGAATAAGTGAACTTGCTGAATAATTAATAAACATAAAATGAGATTTTTGTCATTCTGCACTTTTTCAGGACGTTCGCACTCTTAAATTGACGCTATTCATTATCTCTTAAGAAATATTAAAAGGGAATGCAAAAATTCAAAAATTTAAGTACAGAATATAATAGTTGTTTTAAAAATTAAATAGATCTTGGTTGAATTGTTCTGCCTTTTTTTCCCAACTTCACACAGACCTCTGGGTTCAATCTCCAGAATCCTTATTAACCAAGACATTATAAACCCCCAAAGGCTGAGGGATTTGTACCACAAAACTGAACAAAATTCATTTTCCAAACTCTTCTCAAACAGCATCAATCATTTGAATCTTTGGGACTGGAGAAAACTGCAGGGTCGAAAGCAGAAGGTGAAAGATGCAAGAAAAGACCGGCAAATAGTTGCAGTTTTCAGAACATGAAAATAGCGATCACCAGCTACATGACTTGTATAAAAATAAACCCTCGGAGGACAGTGTCAAGGTTGAGAAATCCTAAATTGAACCACCATTCTCTTTCTCTTGATGGCTGTTTTCAAATTCATGTAATTTTTCATGCGTGCTTTTATTGGGGATCAAATCAGGGTGCTCTCAACAAAGGTGTTTTGGGGCCACAACAAACTCTCATGTGGGAAAGCCCATGTGTAGCTGGCATGTGCTCTAGTCCTAGTCTTTCAAGTAATAAGAGGCAAACCCACTTGTGACCAGACATGAATAATGTTTATATATGAGGCCTGAGAAAGAAGGCTCCAAGTTACTCAAGATGTATTATCCTCTCCTGATTCAGAATTATTCAGGGCCTACTAGGTACCCAGCAGAGTAAGGATGCTAGGAGCTAAGTAGGAGACGGGACAAGCATAAGGTAGGTCTGGTCTTAGCATCACCTAGCTGACTCGTGCTTATCCGTTTGCAACACAACCCTTCTTGTTCTGGTCCACCTATCCAGGGGATTAGGAGTGTAGCATTAGGCCAGCACTACCCCAGATTAGTAATTAGACTATCAGAACTGGATCTTAAAGTCCTCTAGTCCAATTCTCTCATCTGACTGATGAGAAATTAAGTCCCAAAGAGGGAACATCTTTGCCAAGTGTATCAGACATTCTTGTGCACTAGTTCAAAGTTGTCTCATGTGATTCTTACTGCATCCTCTTTGCACAGGCTTAAGCCAGCTTCATGGTGGTGCACCCAGACACTGCTTCCTCCACTCTGAGGCCACTCATATACTTCTTGTCTCCTGTCCTAGGTCTTCTTTGATGCTATGGCAAGGTAAGTCCATGCTAACTTACTCTGCATTCATGTATGTCCCACCCAGAAGTGGGGCTTGAGCAACAGGGAATGCAAACCAATGGGCAAGTGCTTCCACCT